TGCCTGAGCTAACACATGCGAAGTTTCAAAAAAAAAAAAAAAAAAAAAAGAAGTTAATGACTTGGGGAATATATGTGCTCATCTGTGCTAGCTGGCGATGGGCTCAAAGGCCGTTTCAGTAATTATCACTCTGATGATGGAGCAGATGGCAGTCACCAAACCAAGCCGCCCCCACCAGCCAGCACCTCTGTAGCTAGTCCACCTTCACGCCTGGGCGGTTTGTTCTCAATGGATTACATTCCACGAGAGCCGCTTAACAGCCGTTGCTTCAGAGAGTGCTCGAGAAGCCGAATTTCTGAAAGATTTTTATTCCGAAGGATGCCATCCCTTACAGACGCTGTGGACCTTGGTTGGGGCCCAGAGGCCTAACTTGGATCACTCGAGACGTCGTAACTGTACCCTGAACATGCCTGATTCTTTTTCTACCTTTTTATTGTGATGTGAGTGAAAGCTGATAGAGCACGTTGCTTTTCCATCAACAGTTCGCACGTTTTGTTTGGTGACACTGACAGCAGTCCCCGCAGTGTGACAGCCTCTTGCCACCTCATCGGTGTTTCCGTTCCCATTCGTCCGTCCTCCCCATCCCTTCCTGCCTTCTGAGCCTTCTCCCGGGCACATGCTACCCTTCTGATCTCTCATTCCACCTCTGTGTTGGCCGGAGCTGCCGCCCTCACCCGTACGAGCCTCTTACCTATGCCACAGAGGTGTCCTCCCACAGCCCGGCAGCGATGCAGAATAAAATCCAGCTGTCGTCAAGTTGATTCGGACTAGAGATCGCATCTTTAATCATTGTACAAGGAGCCCTGATGGCACAACGGTTAAGCACATGGCAGCGAATTGAAAGGTTGGCCATTCAAATCCATCCAGCAGCTCCATGAGAGAAAGACCTGGCAGTCCACTTGACGGCCAAGAGAACCCTATGGGGCAGTTCTCTGTCACATGAGGTCATAGTGAGTTGGAGTCAACACCACAGCCGGCTAACAAACAGCAGTCTCTACAGAGCAGACTGCCACGCCGTTCCTTCAAAGGTACTGCTGGGTGGGTTCGAACCACCAATCCTTGGGTTACTGGCTGAGCGTGAACTGCTTACACTACCCAAGACCTTCCAGTCCTCTAGCATGGCGTTTACATAAGAATCCTGAAGGGGCTGCCTACACTGTGAACATCTCTCTCTCCCCTGGAAGCCAATCAGCCACACGGGCTGGGCTCTTCCCAGTGAACAAGTCATTCAGTTTAGCAGGAGATGTGAACTGTCCAGTTATTTAAAGACATTAAACAAGAGTACGGAACAACATATAATCCCTGAATCTGCAGCAGAGCCAGGGACGAGTATGTTGTGATTAGGAGCCGCCAAGTCGGTTCTGACTCACGGAGCTGCTACGCACAACAGAAGCAGCACTGCCGGGGCCTGCAGCGTCCTCACAACCGTTCCCATGTTTGAGGCCTTTGTTGCAGCCACGTGTCAACCCATCTCACTGAGGTCTTCCTCTCTTGCACTGAGCCTCTGTGTTACCAAGCATGATGTCTTCTCCACAGTGGCAGCACTAGGGTTGGTGTCATCCCGGGTGGGAACCCCACCCATGGATTTCCTCCCATAGCAGACCACACAGCATCCTTAGTGTTGCTTCTTATCAACTTTACTCGTAGAGTAATACATGATAAATATGGTTGTAAAATGCATGAATATTCAGACTAAGTGGGGAAAAGAATGACTATAAATACTGGGTCGTCACTCTGGGTCAGGTTTTGCAGCCAAAAGAGTTCCAGCAAGCTTTCAATTTGCAGAACTTTTAATTTTGGAGATGCATGTTAAGGATTGGGGGGGGGGGTATTTACACATCTGTGACATTTGGAAGCAACCTAAGAGACTGATGAAACAAATCATGGCATGTGCATACCACAGCCTATTTTCCAGGCATGAAAATTATGCTATAGATCAGTGCCACCACTCATCTGTCAGTGTGTCACACTGTGGTGGCTTGTGTGTTGCTGTGATGCTGGGAGCTATGCCACCAGTATTTCAAACATCAGCAGTGTCACCAATGGTGGACAGGCTGCAGCAGAGCTTCTAGACAAAGAACAGATTGGGAAGAAGGGCCTGATGATCTACTCCCTGAAAGTTAGCCAGTGGAAACCTTGTGAATGGCAGTGGAATAGTGTCTGATACGGTGCTGGAGATGAGCCCCTCAGGCTGGAAGGCACTCAAACTATGACTGGGGAAGGGCTGCCTCCTCAAAGGGAGAGTTGACCTTAATGATGTGGATGGAGTAAAGCTTTTGGGACCTGCATTTGCTGATGTGGCACAACTCAGAATGAGATGTAACAACTTCAAACATCCATTAGGAATTGGAACATGGAATGTTTGAAGTATGAATCAAGGAAAAATGGAAGTCATCAAAAATGAAATGGAACTTTTGAAGAGTTGAGTTGAAATGGACTGGTATTGGCCACTCTGAATCCAACAATCATGTGGTCTACTTTGTCGGGAATGATAAATTGACTAGGATTGGCACCACATTCATTGTCAAGAAGAACATTTCAAGATCTATCCTGAAGTACAATACTGTCACTGACACGGTAATATCCATAAGCCTACAAGGAAGACCAGTTAATCTAACTATTAGTCAAATTCATGCATCAACCACTGAAGTCAAAGATGAAGAAACTGAAGATTTTGGCCAACCTTCTGTAGTCTGAAATGGACCAAACCTGCAATGAAGATGTATTGATAATTACTGGTGACTGGAATATAAAAGTTGGAAACAAAGAAGGACTGGTCATTGGAAAAATGTGACCCTGGTTATAGCAACAACGCTGGAGATTGCATGATAGAATTCTGCAAGACCAGTGACTCACCCACTGGAAATCCCCTTTTTCAGTTACATGAATGACAACTAGACATGTGGACCTTGCTGGGTGGACACACAGGGACCAGACTGATTACATCTGTGGACAGAGGCTATGGAGAAGCTCATGAGGACAAAAAGAGGTCGCTGAGTTATGACAACACGCTATCTCTTAGCTCTGGAAGCATTCACAGCAGGTGGATCTGTTTTATTCATCAGTTAGAACAGGACCAGGAGCTGACTGTGGAACAGACTATTAATTACTCACGTGCAAGTTCAAGCTGAAGCTGAAGAAAATTAAAGTACATCCACAAGAGCCAAAGTATGACCATGGATATATCCTGCCTTAATTTACACACCATCTCAAGAATAGAGCTGACAAACTGAATACTAGATGACAGTAAGGACGTCACACATGAAGAAAGCAGTCATTAAAAAGACAAGAAGGAAAGAAAAGACCAAAATGGATGTCAGAAGGGACTCTGAAATTTGCTCTTGAGCAGAGCAGCTAAAGCAAATGAAGAAATCATGACGTGAAAGAGCTGAACCACCTTTCAAAGGTGGTTCAAGAAGACAAGGTAAACTATTATAATGAAATGTACAAAGACCTGGAGTTAGAAAACCAAAAGAGAAGAACATACACAATATTTCTCAAGCTGCAAGAACTGAAGAAAAAATTTAAGCCTCAAGTTGCACTACTGAAAGATTCTACGGGCAAAATATTGAACAACATAGAAACCATGAAAAGAAGCTGGAAGGAATAGAGTCACTGGACCAAAAAGAACTGGTCAATGTTCAACCATTTCAGGAGGCAGCATATGACCAAGAGCCAACGGTACTGAAGGAAGAAGTCCAAGCTGCACTGAAGGCACTGACAAAAAACAAGGCTCCAGGAACTGATGGAAAACCCAGAGAAGTGGTTCAACAGATGAAACACTGGAGGCCCTCTCTTATCTATGCCAAGAAATTTGGAAGACAGCCACCTGACTGGAAGGGATCCATATTTGTGTTGATGCCAAAGAAAGGTGATCCAATAGAATGTGGAAATTGTCAAACAATATCATTAATATCACAGGCAAGTAAAAGATCTGAAGATCTTTCAGAATGACTCCTGCAATCCACTGCCAGGAGCTGCCAGATGAGGACGTGGAATAAGGGACTTCATTGATGATGACGGATGGGCCTTGGCTGAAACCAGAGACCAGAGAGCTGTTTTCCTGTGTTTTATTGACCGTGTGTGGATCTAACAAATTACAGATAACATTATGAAGAACGGGGATTCCAGAACACTTAATTGTGCTAATGTGGAACTTGTACACAGACCAAGAGGCAGTTGTTGGAACTCATCTTTCTTCCGGGGAGTCGCTGGTGGGTTTGATGCACCAACCTTTTGGTTAGCAGTCAAATCCTTTAACCACTGTGCCACCAGAGCTTCCCCTAATAGAAAGCCAGTGAAATAGTACTTGGACTGTCTCATTCGATCATTTGGACAATCATTAGGGATAGGAATAATATTTTGGAGGCAGTTGAAGGCATGATTAGCATAAAATCAACAACTCCAGCAAAGAGGAGGCAAGGACCAATCCACAAGATGAAGCTGGTGATGGTTTGGGTAAAAAATCAAATCCAGGAGTGATTCCTATCAGTTTACTGATGATTCAGATTAAAGGGCACAGCCTATTGAAAACCTGAAGAAGCAGCAAGGAGGCCCCCCAGAGTGCTTTCACGCCACCAAGAGCTGGTTTCATTGCTTCAGAGGCAGACTTCGCTTACGTCATGTCCGTGTACCTGGAGAAGCAGGAAGCGCTTGATGGGGAAGCTGCTGAAAATTTCTAAGAAGAGCCGAACAAGCTGGAAGACAAAGCATCAAAATATTTTATGGTGATAGAACTTGCTGAAGTTTTTTCTAAACTAAATCAGGGGCTTCAGTTGCTTGAAAACACAGACCCAAACACTGATCGTTTTTCTAAGTTGACAGGCAGATGCAGAAAGCAGTGAGATGTTACTACGAAATACATGGATCGCTGTCCATTGAGACAACTCTACTTTTCTGACTAGAAACACCACCCTCATTCCCAGGGATAATGACCCAGGACCTTTCACGAGTGGGGTCAGCACCACAACTGATAACATGCCAGTGTCACCAAACTCTTCGTCAGAGTAGATGTATACTATTTGTGTATTTTTATGTATGTATGTATGTAAAGCAGAAGTTTATAATACTGTTTCTAACCCAAAGGCAAACAAATACTAGTTTTATAAAGATACTGATATTAAAGAGGTAATTATAATGAAAAAAAAAAAGATGCATTCATCTCAGAGCCAACAATGGAGTTGTCACAACAGAACCCCGTTGTAAGTTGGGGACTGCTTGTATACCTGGACCACCAGAAGAACAAAAATACTTGTCTTAGAAGGCTGCTAAGAGGCAAGGGTGGCAAGACTTTATCTTCCTTACTTTGGACATGTCATCAGAAAACCAAATCCAATCCAATGCCATCGAATCACTGTGTTTTCAAAAATCTCTATGGAAGTAAATTGCCTCATCTTCCTCCCACATAGCAGCTGGTGGGTTTGAACTGCTGACCTTCTGGTTAGCAGCCAAATGTCCTGATGACATGTCATCAGGTGGGACTCAACCCTGGAGATGGACATCATGCTTGGTAAAGTAGAGGCTCAGTGAAAAGATGAAGTCCCTCAATGAGACGGATGACACAGTGGCTGCCACCATGGGCTCAAACACAGCAATGACTGTGAGGACGGTGCAGGACCAGGCAGGGTTTCGTTTTGTTGGCTGTAAGTCACTGTCAGGGGGACCCTAACAAAAGCACAACAATATGAATCATGTAACTTTGTTTGCTCTGAAACAACCCCAAATCTTTACTGTCTGGGCCACAGCTGCTCTCCAGAAGCACGCTGGATTCTCCTCCTGAGAGATCATGAAGCACCTGGCTCCCCTATGCTCCCCTAAGAGGCTGTAGGATTTCCACATTACAGTTTCAAGTCTCCACTACACAGAATGTTGGGGCATTTTATGCATTGTTCAGAATTTTCACTGTCCATGTTCACCAGCTGTGACTGAAGTCAGACAAAACGTGGGTCCCTGCCCAGTGCACAATCAGGCCAAAACAGTTTACACACCAAGTGATTAAGAGGAGAGAAAATTATTTATTGCAAACTGGCAATGCAAGGAGACAGGGGCCAGTACCCAAATCCGACTCCCCAGATGGAGGTCAGGATACAGTTTTGGAAGCTTCAGGAGCGGGGGTTATACATATTCCTAAAAATTTCAGGAATTTGGGCTGAATTAACTGAGGATTGGCTGACGCTTCCTTCACCTCGGTTTAAAGGGACAGTCGATTTTTAATGCAGCACGCTTGCACATCGGGTAAGTCACATCAGCTTCCTGTCATCAGCTGATGGGGCTTGGGCGGAGGGCAGAATGCCAGTTCTCAGCAACTCTGTTCCTGTTTGTCTCACTGCGCATGTCCGTGGGCCAAGGTTAATTATCAAGTTGTCTCCTGAAATACATTAACATACTTATCACCTGTTTCTAGGGGAATAACATGGAGAGAATGTGTAAATGGACCTTTCATTCCATTCAGTTCTTAAGGAACTGAGTTACCATGTTTATCTGTCTTAGCCAGGGTGGGGGTGATAGTTGAGCTTTCATTCTATTCAGTTCTTACGGAACTGAGTTATCATATTGACTTATCTGCTTTCAACCAGGGACCCAGGCTGAACTTTTGATGATGCAGGCTGAACTTTGACTCTACTTGGTTTTCAGGACCATACTTTGTGGCCAAAGAATGAAGGTCCATCCAGAGTTCTGCACAGCCAAGTTCCAGCTTTGGGGCAGAGGTTTCTATGGGGACACATGCACCCCAGGGGCCAGTATCTCCCCTGCATATTACACAGGGGACAATGGCCTCTGGGCATTCTTGTGATCTTCACAACACGACGGCCGTTTTCTACCTGTGAGGAGACAGTGATGGTGGCCTGTTGGGAGGAATCACAAACTAAACAGAGCCCATTTAAGTGTTTTGTGGTTGTTGAGCTGTATTGGGTTTTATTTCACATAGGGACTTGTGGAAAATTAACTTTAAACTCATGAATCTCTGTTGTTGGCTGCATCAAGTCCACTCTGACCCAGAGTGACTCCACGTGTGTCAGGGTACACTGTACCCCGTAGGGTCTTCTTGGCTGTCATCTGAACAGAAGCAGATGGCCAGGCCTTTTCTTCTGTGGTGCTACTGGGTGGGTTTGAACTGCCAACCTTTAGGTTAGCAGTCAAGCAGAAGCCATTGGTGTCTACTCAGGACCTTAAGCTCATTCATCTAACACAAAACCAAATGTGATGCTATTGAAGCTGAGTGGAGTCACAGTTCAGCCTGAGTCCCTGACTGGAGGCCAGGAAGTCAATACTATAGCTCAGTTCCTTAAGAACTGAATAGAATCAAAGTTCAACTATCACTCCCACCCTGGTTGAGAGAGATAGGACCTTGGTTGGAGGCAGATAAGTAAACTAGATATCTCAGTTCCTTAAGAACTGAATGGAATGAAATGTCAATTTACCCATTCTCTCCATGTTATCTACTAGAAACAGATGGTAAATATATTAATGTGTCTCAGGAGACAACTTGAAAATTAACCTGGGCCCACAGACACGTGCAGTGAGACAAAGGGGAACAAAATTGCTGGGAACAGACATCCTCCCCTCTGGCCAAGCCCATCAGCTCATGACAGGAAGCCGATGTGACTCATCCGGTGCGCAAGCGCGCTGCATTAAAAATCAACTGCCCCTTTAAACCGAGGCGAAGGAAGCGTCAGCCAATCCTCAATTAATTCAGCCCAAATTCCTGACGTTTTTATGAATATGTATAACCCCCACTCCTGAAGCTTCCAAAACTGTATCCCAACCTCCATTTGGGGAGTCAGATTGAGTACTGGATCGTGTCCTTGCACTGCTGCTTTGCAATAAATAATTTTCCCTCCTCCTGATCATCTGGTGTGTAAATTGTTTTGGCCTGAGAGGGCACTGGGCAGGGGCTCACATTTGGTCCCACTTCACTTTCAAGTCAATTCCAACCCACACAGCCCCTAGAGGACGGAGCAGAACAACCCCCAGGGTTTCCAAGGCCATGATCTTTCCAGAAGCAGACCGGCACGTCTTTCTCCCGTGGGGGCTGGTGGATTCAAACCACCGACTCTTCAGTTAACAGCCAAGTGCTTAACTACTGTGCCACCCAGGCTCCTCGTTCATTCGTCTAAATGATGAAAATACAGAGTTAGTCCCTGGGCCAGCCTCCCAGGACCTGCTCTGCTCTCTGCTCTCCTTCCCGCTCAGCGGTCACGGGTTCCTCTCAGGGCAGGGTTTGTTTCCAGGAAATGCATCCCCCATACGCGGAGACAGAATCCTGCCCTCACACGGGCCTCTCCAGTTGTTGGTGTTATCTGCTACAGAGTCGGCCCCCGAGCCATGGCGACCCACGCACAACGGCGTGAAACGCTGCCCGGTCCTGCGTCACCGCCTTGGTCGGGTGGAAATCCACCAGCCGATACTCAGGAGCAGGTGGCCAGGTCTTTCCACCTAGTTCGTCTTCGTCTGCAAGCTCCACTGAAACCTGGTCAGCGTCACGGCAACACGTGAGCCTCCGCGGACAGACGGGTGGTGACTGTGCCTGAGGGCCACTGGCTGGGCCTCGAACCCGGGTCTCACGCACGGGAGGCGAGTCCCCCACCGAACCACCACTGCTCCAGCGTTCACGGTCCGTCCTCCTCAGCGAGATGAACAAGGTTGAAGGTCGAGTGCTTGAGCAAAGGCCTGGGTGACCTTTACCCACCCTCAGGGAGCGTCCTGAAAAGGGACATCTGGGTGGGGCAGTTTTTGGTGACAAGGCCTGGGGAGTCACTTCTCTTGACAGTTCCTCACCTTGTGTTTTGCCCAGAGGGGCCTCTCCACAAGGCCCGAGACTACA